CATTTCACATTTCTTCTAGTCTTGACTACTGTTAATATTGCTCACATTGATGTTGTCTAAGTCCATTAAAAATAAGTCCCCAAAATCCCCTGCTCAGTTCCCAGTTCAGTATTGTCATCCTATCTGAAATCTCTAGGATTTCAGAAGAGCTGTTAAATGAATTAGCTCACCCTCATGAATTATTATCTGGCATAGGGTTTTTGTTGTTGTCGTTGTTGTTTTACAATCTAAATAGAGGAGTTTGGCTGAGGTTACAGCTCAGTGGTAGAGAGCTTATCTAGTAAATCTAAGTGTGATCTCTAACACCAAGCAAGGAAGGAAGGAAGGAAGGAAGGGGAAAAGGATGGAGAGAAGAAAGGGGGAATGGAGGAAGGGATGGAGAGAGGGGAAGAGAAAGGAAGGAAGGAAGGAAGGTGGATGGGAAGGAAGGAGGGAAGGAAAGAAGGAAGAAAGAGAGGAAGAAAGGAAGGACTATTTACAAATCTGCCATGTCTGGTGGCCTCTGTTATCATATATACTTTCATACTTTAGTATTTTCTTTTCCAGGTTCCTGTTGACAATGCTAGATCCTCATCACCATTTTCTTGGTGTACCTGGCAGTTGTTCTGGGCAGTTCCCTATCACCCACAATGTCTACGCTGACTCATCTCTGCTCTGGACCATGTATTTCTTTCTGTCCACGCTAGCAGAGTCTGATTGGCGTCTCTGTGTGTCAGCCACACTCACAGTGCTGGGACTACTATGGCTACTTCATAATACCCCTTTATGTGTCTCCCACCTCTATTTATTCCGTGCTTTTTCTTTCATGGAGTCCGCTAGATTTTGGCCTTGCCATATGATTATTTAGTAACAACACCAACTCTCTGACACATCCCTCAGTGTTCATGCTGGCTCCTGGGTAACAAAGGTTGGAATGTTTGGGTATTCGAGAACAATGTTCACCATTCCTTTTGGTCTGTGACTCTCTGGTTTCACCTAATGAAAATTTTCTCTCTCATTCCTACTGTTGGCACTAAGATATGATCCACCTCTCCTAATCAGTCACACACTTGAGCAGCTTTCTGCTTTGTTGTCACCATAGGTTCAGACTTCCTTTTCACTTTGCTTTCTTTTTTTAAATTTTTTTTTATTAAACATCAGAAATTTATTAGTTGCTCAAAACATTACATTGATCTTGACATATCATATATCATACATTTGCTTCAAATGGGGTATGAATTCTTATTATTCCCACATGTACAGATTGCAGGATCAAGTTGATTATACAGCCACTTTTTATACATACTGCCAAACTAGTGTCTGTTGCATTCTGCAGCCCTTCCTATCCCCTTCCTATCCCCCCTGCCCTCCCCTCCCCTCCCCTCCCTCTACCCCATCTACCATAACTCATTTCTCTCACTCTCTCTTATTTTTTTTCCTCCCCTTCGCCTCACATCCTCTTATATGTATTTTTGTATAACAATGCGGGTCTCCTTTCCTCTTTGGCGCAATTCCCTCTCTCTCTCTCCCATTCCCTCCCACCTCTCATCCCTGTTTGATGGTAATCTTCTCATTTGAGCAGATTATGCCAAGTGAAGTCAACCAATCCCTTAAAAACAAATGCTGAATGTCTTCTTTGATATCAGGGGGGCGACTCAAAACAGAGCAGGGAGGAAGAGCATGAGAAGAAGATTACCATCACTTTGCCTTCTTAACATCAGTTGCTCAAGTCTATAAGGGTCATGCACCCCTCCTGGGCGGGGAGAGAAAGTAACACAAATTTCCTAATGCCCATGTATCTCACATACTGGCTGTCCCAGTGTGTTGTGTCCCTGAGTGAGGGCTTTCTATCATTTAACATTTGCAAGGCATTCCTCCCCATCATTTTTATTATCAAGAGCAATGTGTACACATTTTCCACTGCTGATGATCCCAGTCATTAACTGCATAAAGACCCAGAAAGGTGTTCTCTTTGAAATAAAAATCTAATGTTCTCAATAACTCCCCTTTAGCTAAATTACTTATCATATTATATGACATAAGATATGATTATATAATACCACATGATATATGATTATATGAGAATATAATATTTTTAACACATTACCAATTATTAAAGCAGACAAAAACTAGAAGGGAACATTTAAAAATTTGAATAGGGAAAGATAAACCTGGTGATAGAAGAGAAAACAGTAGTATAGTATCTGATGCAGTGTGTTCCCATAATAAACTTATCCTTAAGTTGTTTTGCACAGTTTTGTCAAAAAAAGAAAGAAAGACAGAAAGAAAGAAGAAAGAAAAAAGAAAAAGATACTGTACTAAAAGAATAATCATCATATTCAAAACTCAGACCTCTTGATGTGATTAGTCTTTTCCGTCCATTCCTAGCCGGTTTTTGTAACCCCTGGGGCTACTCCCCTTTTCTACCTCTCCCTCATTCTATTCTTATGTCTGTATAAGTTGTTGTGTAGTACTTCTCTTAGTATTCACACAACTCTGCTTTCAAATAGACTTTTTAGTCGTACCTACTTATCAGTTAACACCAGTCCTCATTTCATTTGGATGTATTAGACTGTCTACTTGTATGTTTTCCCTACATACAATCTAATTACTGATCAACTGAATGTCAGACATGAAATGTTTTGTTATTCTTATCTAGAGAATAAACCATGCAGAAACCAAACTATGCTTTTAACTCCCTTCTGATCCTGCAAGTTTGGAAGATTCTCATTTAAGTATTTGACAGGACATCTTGGATTCATATGCACTGTGTATAGATTATTTATATGCTAATTTTTTGGCTATAGCATTCTAGAATTGAGAATCAGCAAGTTCTTCTTACTTTCTGTCATGATATAGTAGTAGTGGATTTTATTCACATTGATGTCTGGCATTGCAGATAGGAAAGCTTGGATATTTGGTGTGAAGTTACCACATACTTTTTTTAAAGTACATAATATCCAGAAAAATCTACGTTCCTGGCTCCTGGGGGATTGTATATTTTTTGCTGGAACTTTCTCCCAGAATCACAGTCTGTGACTCAGTAATACTCATCAGAATGTAACCATCTCTTTTCTTCAAGAAAATAACATTTATCTTATTTTATTCCCAACACCAACAAGGTAGGGGGGCATTGTTTATTTCAGTATGCTGAATTAAAGCTTAATATTTTTATTTGAGAAGGATATATATTTTCAACTAAATCAACCCCACCATCAGGAATACTTTTGCAATGATTATGAACACGTAAATCTGTGACAACAACTGATAATTGTTTTCCACCAACTTTTCAAAAAATAATGTTTTGTTATTAGCTTCTTATATGAAACTATTCCTTCTCTCAGGGTTGCCTTTACAGGCACTTAGATGTGAGCCAAGGGAATTTTCCAGGTCATTTTTTGTGCAATTGACTAGAATGAAATGGATTTTGTGCATACCATCTTCCCTCTAGCAGAACTGATAGAAAAATTCAATTGGTGAGCCATTCCTGGGAAGAGTCACTGCATGTGTCATGAGCATCAAATAAGGAATCTATCATCCACAAAACAACCCTAACAAGGCTGTCAATTTCATATTCTTTTATACATTCTGATACACACACATATGCATGTGTGTATAATTTATATATACACCTACATACTCAGCAACATTTATCTCTGTCTTTTTGATAGTAGCCATTTTAATAAGAGTGAGATGATATTTATTTGTAGTTTTATTTTGCATTTCCCTTCAGATTAGTGACAATGAACTTCTTTTCATGTACCTGTTGGCCATTTGTTTGTCTTCTTTTGAAAAATGTCTGTGCAGTTCCTCTATCCATTTCATATTATTTGTAATGAGTTGTATGAGTTACTTATATATCTTAAATATTAACTTCTTGTCAGATATACATTCGGCAAATATTTTATGCTGTATCAGAGATTTACTGTAATTTTGCTATTTCCTCTGTTGAGCATAAGCTTTTAAGTTAGATATAGTCCCACTTGTGTATTTTGTTGTTGTTGTTGTTCCCTGTGCTTTTGGTGTCAAATCCAAAAGCTTGTTGCCACAACTCTGTGTTTTCCTCTGAAAAATTATTGTGCCTAGCCTCACTTTAAGTTTTAAACCATTTTAATTTGATTTTTGCAAACATATGTAAGCTAATTTAATTTCATTTGAAGGGCTTCATACTGTAACCTGTTAAAACCTTGTGCAAATACTTCCACAGTTATCACTTATTATATGCATTGTTTTCTACTTGCCAGCTAGATTCAGAATTGGGATAGAGGAGAGGGACCACTTGAAACCCATCCTTCCAGAAAGTAGCATATATCAAAGTGAACACTGAATAAGAAAATGAAGCTAAAATGTGTTGCTCATGGCAACACTGATAAATACAGAGGCAGAAAAGCCATTACAGGAAGGCTAAGAAAGAAAGCAGATCTCTAAAAATTTCTCAAATATTAATGTTAAACATCTTGAGGAAGAACAGGAATTCTATTTGGCATGGGCTCACATAAAGATTGTAAGACAACAATAAATATCGAGCCATAAAAGCATCCTGAGCCCTACAGTCATCACACTATTAATAGCCCACTCCTTCCAGTGCAAACTCCGTAAGAGCAAAGACTCCAAGGAGAACAGCATTGCAGATTTTTGGCCACTCTTAATGGTAGAAGTAGGGAACAAGTTCTCAAAAGACACGGTGGCAAAGTCACGTTCTACTATTCTCCCTTCCCCAGACAGATACCTATGAGAAAACAGAGGCAAAAATAGGCAAGAGGGGAAAAGGAGCATGTGTCCAGTAAAACATGGAAGTAAACCCTTAGGGAGGAATGGAATCTATAAGAGGAGAACTGGGTGGACTAAGGCTGTGAAGTTCTGGGGAAGAAACTGGAGAAAGAAGAGAAACTCATGAGAATGGCTGGGGAAAATAAGTAACAGGTGTACTAGCACAAGGTCTGAATTAGCTCTCATTTCTTTTTGTCTTAATTGCCTTGTCTTCCCACATTCCCTCATGAATAAAAGACACAAAAATAATGTACACCATTGCAATTAAAAATGATTTTATTAGGCAGAAGCCAGTTGCTCAAAGGCCTTCATAAGTTGCCCAATACTTAGGAGTTGTTCTCTGGGGCAAAAGGCCTTTTGTATGAGATAGACAGCAGGAAAGGTAGCTTAGTGGTATTTGTGAGCCAGGGCATTGGCCACACCAGCCACCACCTTCTGAAAAGCAGACTGTGCCTCTGGGGTGAAATCCTTACCCAGGTGATGGGCCAGCACAACCACAATCACTTTGCCAAAGAGCTGTGGGAAGAAAGAAGAGGTGTGAATATGAAGAGTTTGAGCATGAATAGAGAATATTCCAACCTCATGTCCAGCTGTTCTTGTGGTTGTAATTATAAAATAAAAGAAGAATGATAGCTGGACTTAGCTGCTGCTACAGATATGAATTCTCATGTATCTGTCAGAATTTATAAGCATAAGTTTTCTTCCCTATCTCCCCAACCCAGAAGATAAATTTTTCACTGTTATTCTTTAAAACTGTGCAAAGAAACATGACAAAGTTTATTTTCCTAGCTTGAAAGAGAAATTAGAACTGCATTTTAAAGTAGACAAATTTTTAAATGTAGACAAATACAACCTAAAAAGTTTAATGGAAGAAGACAGAGCAGATATTGAAGAAAACAAAAACTGGAAAATGAAAACGAAATGAGAGGAAACATTTGTTGTCAATGGAGAATAAAGAATAAAGAATAAAAGATCAACTGTTCCAAACACCGATACCTTTGCCTCCTGCTTTAAACTTATCCTTAGGGAGGAAAAGAAAGGATCACATTGAGGGTTGTCCTAGACTCAACTTGAAGTTCTCAGGATCCACATGCAGCTTGTCACAGTGCAGCTCACTGAGACTTGCAAAGGTGCCCTTGAGGTTGTCGAGGTGTTTCAGGCCATTACTAAAGGAATCAATCACCTTCTTGCCCAGAAAAAAATAGAACAGATTTGCCTGTTATAGTTCAGCATAAGAGTATATGAATGTATCTCTTCCTGTTTCTACAGAATATGCAAAATAACCCACAGACAGAATGGATACAGCCTCTATCATGGTTCTAAGTATGTCTTCCTTCTCCTGGTTTGGATTAACTCCTCCTGGTAAGAAAATAAATATTCATTAATTCATTCATTTGTTGCTGTTTTTTCTGTGTGTGTTTGCATTAATTTGGTCACCTAATCAAATAAACGATGTTCCAAAAATAGAATAAATCTGAATCCAACCATATTTTGTGTAATAATTTCTTCATTTGGTTTTGTGACCCAGACATGGAAACATTGAGACTGCCTAATACAGTAGAAATGAAAATTAATATAAAGCCATTTAAAACACGAAGTTGTGTGTAGTATTAGCAGAAGCAACATTTTCAAATGGGAGATTAATGAGGGATGGTTCTACCTGGAGTCATCTGGGAAATGTGAAAGCAGAGAAGGTTCTCTTATTTAAACCTAATGGTCAGAAGGTGACAAGACATTCTGCCCTTGGCTATGGTTTTCTTTCCCTGCTAAGCCTCTAGGAATGCTGTGTTTTAGAATCATGTCCTTGGTTAAAATTCTTGCCCTCCGTCTCTTTTTCTCTATATATGTTTGCTTTCTTTCTCCAGGTTTTCTAGTAGTGTTCCCCCTCCCCTTCTTTTTTGTACCACATAAAACAGTGCTAAGTTCTTAGGATAGAACAAACTTCTGAAGTATAAACTTTGGTTTTTGTTATTAGAAGACACAATTTTAAAAAAAGCAAAGGCAATCAACATTTTCCAATGACAGTATAAGATCTCAACTTTCCTGGAGGACTCTCTTAGTCATCTTTCCACTTTCTTTCATCTCTACCTCCTGGAATTTGTCCTTCAATTATATTCCCATTTCCGTTTAAAAAGGGGGCATGCTTTTTAATTTCTCTTACCATGTTTCTATTTATAATCTTCTCCTGATTCTGGGATGTCCAAAATCTAAAATCTTCCTTATTTTCCCTTGTTGTCCCTGGCAACACATATTTCACAGAAATAGCTCATCCTCTCAGCTCTAATACTTTGAAACCCAATTACACTAATATTTTTAGGTAACCCTGAGAAAAGAGATATTCTGTATTGATTGTTATTCCAATGAAATTAGTAAAATTTTTATTTTCTTTTGTCTGGAATAAGAGGTCTTTCAAATATTTTAAATGATAAAAAATATTTAACTTCACATTTAGATTCTTGGGTTTTATTATATTAAAATCTGAATTAGTATTGTAACAGTTTTACGTCCAGAATGTTTTCAATATCCCTTTTTTACACTTCTCCGGGCAGAGGTCAGTTATGTTGATGGGGTGTAAATATGTTATGGGGAAATTCTGTTGCATCTTTTGCAAGGATCATATCCCTAAAACCTATATATCTTACTAGAAATGCTATAGAAAATTTTCATATTTTTCTGTAAAGAGCCAAATTGTCCAGGCTACAACTTTGCATTCTTCTTTGACAGAATTTAGCACTTTTTAAGATCCCCTTATCTTTTACTGTGCTCTGAAATGTTTCTTCTACATTCTATGTTGTTTCTTCCTCAATGACTGTCCTATGGCAACTCTCTTCTACTGTCAACTGCTGCAGATACTATCATCCAGGCCTCAGAACAGGGAAGCTGATTTGGGGACTGCTGCTCACTGTGACTTGTGTGGAATCAGAAATTTTCTTCATTTGCCCGGTTCTGTACAGACAAGCCTGTAAGTTATCATGAGACTATCAATAGCTCGGGTATAGATAGCCAAAACTAGTTATAAGAAATGATGAATAGTGATAAATGTGGTTATGTTCCGAGCCTCAGGCTCAGATCTGGACCATTCAAGAATCCAAGTGGGGCTGGTTTCGTGGCTCAGTGGTAGAACATTTCTGCCATATATGTGAGGCACTGGGTTTGATCCTCAGCACCACATAAAAATAAATAAACAAAATAAAGGTGTTGTGTCCATCTATAATTTTAAAATATATATTCAAAAAAATAGAATTCAAGCTCCATGAGGCTCACTTCCCCCTTTACAGTTGTGAACTCATTTCGTTCCTGCAAAGGTCTCACCGCACCCCTGATACCAGCCCCTGCTGACCACCCAGTATACACACCAGCACAGGCAAGTACTAAAAACCCTCAAAAAAAAAAAAAGAAGAAGAAGAAGAAAAGACAAGTCTCAAAGTTTATTTGCTTTCCTCTAATTATTCAAGCTTTATTATTTCCTAATGTTCTGGACAAGAATGGGCCTAATCTGATTTTATCAACAGGATGAATATTAACTTCCTTCAAAAAAATCAGGACACTCATCCATTTGAACATGGTATCATTATTTGTTGACACTCAGCTAGAATATTTTTGTATATGCTCTGCAGTTTAGTTTCCACTAATTCAAACAAAGTCTAGCTACTTGCTATAGTCTTCTCTCCCACATGCACAATCTCTTGGTAACCTCAGCTTAACATCTTCTCAGAAAAAATAAAACAGCTACAAAGACAAGCAGAGTTCTAGAAAGAACCCCTGTTGTGCCAGATTAGTGGGACCTCCAATAGAACTCCAGGTGCGGAATCCGATGCAATCACACAAGAGTCTTTATTGCAAGCTCGAGCCTGGACTCACAACCGTTCCCGACACATCGGATCCAGGGAGTGAGTCCTGGTCCTTTGTTCAGTGAGATTTTATAGGTTTTGGGGGTATACTCTATGCGTCACAACATTACACAGCAAATCATTCCATACCCTGGGAAAATCAAACAACAACTCTTAACATTGACTAGCACATTCACTGGCAGGAACAAGTTGGGTAGGGGTGATTGGTTAGTACAAAAGGGGGATTCCTTTGAACTGATTGGTTTAGGCCACGAGGGGTGTATGTGCTAAACTTCATGGTTTCCCAACATGTTATCAACTACCATAAACTACTTGGGGTTCATCTGGCATTCCAGGTATTTTCCCTGTCTCATGCTGATTGGAGGTTGCTAGAGGGTTGCTATGGGTCCTCACCTAGCCTGAGTCAGGATCACCTGGTGCCACAGATCTCTCTTGTTATTTGTAGACAAACAACTCAGCAGGGTGGGTATGTGCTTAGGAGTGCTCTGTGGGTTTTTCCAAGGACAAAGGTCATGCCTCCTTCCTTAGGACAGGCCTTGAGGTATAAGCTGCTATTATTTATTTATTTTTTAAAATGAAGTCACATCAGTTTCTCACCCTCCCCCACACACACACAATAGTTTGAGAATTGATAGTTTCATTCATTAAAAAAAGCTATATCTCACCGGAAAGCAATGTAGTCAACAAAATAGAACATTAATAAAATATAACTGATTATTACAGAACAATTGGCAGCCTACTCTAGAACATGCACACTGATGTTTTCTCCCTCAGGCTTAAGTGCTTACTCAGCATGAGCTTCTCTTTACCTCATGAAGTGGGCATGGTGTTGATGTATGCAGAGGGGCCATCTTCTCTAAAGCTAAATTGGACTTTCTTCTCTTTAGAGCTAAAACCTTGGCTTCAGTATGTGAAAAATAATGACAAATCTGTGAAAATAATTCACAAGGCCAAAACTTCAATGCCCTTCCCTGAGGCTAAAGACATTGATAATCTAGGAGAACATTATGCTACCTTCCCTTTACATTTTAAATTAAATTCTTTTAAAACTTTCTGTGAAATGAAACTGACAATATTGCTTTCCCTCCACTCCCACTCCCAGACACACACACTCACACACACGTCTTTTCACCTTTGACTCCACAACATCTATGTGAAGATTCAGTGTCGGGATATAGTCATCGCTCATGCTGAACAGGAGTCCCATCAATGTCATGTTCTGAATTGTTCCAAGTGAGAATTTTTAGGCCCAACTTATTTGTTTTATTCAATATTGAAGGAATATGAAAGGATGCATTACTAAAACATTCTTTTATTTTTGTCTTTTCTTGAGTTTTTGGAGGGTAGTTTTTTCCCTTTCCGAGATCATGAGATCCATAATCTCTTTACCTGCTTTGAAATACTCTCAAAACCTCTTATGCTCCTCAAATCTGACTCTATGAGAACTTAAAAATGCTCAGGAATGTGACAGTGATCTTCCTAAAATTTCCCTGGAGTAGCTCTGCTTCTGGGATGTGAGTCTGTGGTTCTTGAAGGTCCTACTCAGAAATGCAGAGTTCTCAGTGACTGCTGTGTACAATGTCCTGAGAAGGAAATTGTGGATATTCCAGGCCTCTGACCTTAGACAGAGGTGGAACCAATGAAGGGCAACTCATTGTCAATATGTCTTGGCAGAACTTGTGAAAGCTTTAAACAGAAGAAGGCACCAGGGTGTGTTTAGGCTTTCAAGTAACTCAAAAGATAACAAACAAAAGAATGATATAGATCTAAAGAAATGGATGCAAGTTAGAAATTTCTACAATTCCATATAAATTTACTGATAGTAAAAACCACACACACACAGGAATAAATGGAATTATCTAGGCAGAAAGCAAATGACTGATTATAGAGAACTTTAGTTTCTTGAATGGTCTATGAGATCCTTTCAATATACAGATTGTCCTCCAACCTGGAATTTCTGAGACAAGGAATAGTGAGTCGCTCATTCATTGATTATTCCACTGAATAAATGTTCAATTATTGCCTATGTAAGAATTTGATGTAAGAAACAGTAGGCATGCAAGATAAAAGAATAGGTAGAAATGTTTAGGAATTATGATGTACATTGATGGGGAGTGGGAAAGAGAGGAGGAATAGAAGGAAATACCAGGTGCAGGTATATGCATATATATTTGATTAATTAGTGTTATGGTGGGCTGTCTCTTAGCAACTATTGCTGCATTCCCCACCCTGGTGAGCAAAGTGGCCTAGGATTTGGCAGCTCGTTGTCTTGAAAGGATGAATGTGCACCCACATTCTTCAGTTGGCTCCAACTGGCCCTGACATTGGCCATTCTAGCTTTTGTGTATCTGGACTCTAAAATCTTGTGCTCCTTATGCTTATGTCCTAACCTCATCTCATTCAACATTTGCTTCTGCAACTATATCCTCAGTTTCATTTACATATGTAACTCAGTCTAATAGAGTGGAAAGTCTTCTAGCATTAAACACATCCAGTTCAGTCATTTTATATATTTTACATATAGGAAAACAAGTCTGGTCCTGGGGGTATCGCTCAGTGGTAAAGTGCTGGCCTTGCATGTGTGAGGCCCTAGGATTGACTTCCAGTACTGCGAAAATAAAAAGAAAACAAGTCTGTAGAGCAGGAATATTATCAATTGACTCTGTACAGATTTCTTCCTTGTCTCTAGGAATTTTTGATTCTAGGAGTATTTTGAAGTGTATAATGGATACATATTTTTTTATCATAGTTTGAACCCTCTTTGTTCCTTATTTGGGTAATTCCTTCCTACGACAAGACTCTTATCTTCTCTTCATTTTTTTTACATAAATGTCCATTAAAAGAATGAAGTGTCACTTTTCCAGCTACCAAGATCGATTTAGGGAACATGGATAATAATAGGAATGTTTTAGTAAGAGATAAAAGAAAATACAGATATTTATAGTTGCTTAAAATTATAATTAAACTGGAGAAAGAACACAGAAGAAGAGCAAAGTAAATTTATCTTATTTAGTGAGATTATATCTGACAGGTTATCTAGGAAAATGATAGTACAGAATTTTTCACAAATGTATTCTTAAGAATCAAGGAGAGTTATATTCAGGAATAAATATTTAAAAGACATTTTACACTTTTTTTCAACTTAAACTAGTAAAATCAGACAAATTCACATCCACTCTAATATCAGGAAGGGGAAGAGGGAGAATGAAGGGGGAAAACAAGGAAGGGAGAGAGGGAAAGAAGAGAATAAAAGGTATGAAAGGAAGAATAAGGAAATAAAGAGAAGGAGGAAGAAATGGAGGGATGGCTGGAATGTAATGCAAGAAGAAGGGGGCAGAAAATAAAGGAAGGAGGAGGAGATGAGGGGCCATATTAGTGGAATTTATAAGTTGAACTAAAAGTAATCAGAGATATGGTTTTATTTATATTTAGAAAGGTCAACAATGTGGTTGGGGTTAGGATCTGAAGGGAAAGTTTGTATTCTAAAATAGTAGATAGGAACCATGAACAATTTTTTAAATTTATTTATTTTTATTATTATTAGTTGTTCAAAACATTACATAGCTCTTGACATGTCATATTTCATACATTTGATTCAAGTGGGTTATGAACTCCCATTTTTACCCCATATACAGATTGCTGAATCACATTGGTTACACATCCAGGTTTTTACATACTGCCATACTAGTGTCTGTTGTATTCTGCTGCCCTTCCTATACTTTACTATCCACACTCCCCTCCCCTCCCCTCCCAACTTCTCTCTCTACCCCATCTACTGTAATTCATTTCTCTCCCTTGTTTTTTTTCCCTTTCCCCTCACATCCTCTTATATGTAATTTTGTATAACAATGAGGGTCTCCTCCCATTTCCATGCAATTTCCCTTCTCTTTCCCTTTCCCTCCCACCTCTCATCCCTGTTTAATAGTAATCTTTTTCTCATGCGCTTCCTCCCTGCTCTGTTCTTAGTTGCCCTCCTTATATCAAAGAAGACATTTGGCATTTGTTTTTTAGGGATTGGCTAGCTTCACTTAGCATAATCTGTTCTAATGCCATCCATTTCCCTGCAAATGCCATGATTTTGTCATGTTTTAGTGCTGAGTAATACACCATTGTGTATAAATGCCACATTTTTTTTATCCATTCATCTATTGAAGAGCATCTAGGTTGGTTCCACAGTCTAGCTATTGTGAATTGTGCTGCTATGAACATCGACGTAGCTGTATCCCTGTAATATGCTCTTTTAAGGTCTTTGGGGAATAGTTCGAGAAGGGAAATAGCTGGGTCAAATGGTGGTTCCATTCCCAGCTTTCCGAGGAATCTCCATACTGCTTTCCAAATTGGCCACACCAATTTGTAGTCCCACCAGCAATGTACAAGTGTACCCTTTTCCCCACATCCTCACCAGCACTTGTTGTTTGACTTCATAGTGGCTGCCAATCTTACTGGAGTGAGATCATATCTTAGGGTGGTTTTAATTTGTATTTCTCTGACTACTAGAGATGGTGAGCATTTTTTCATGTACATGTTGATTGATTGTATGTCCTCCTCTGAGAAGTGTCTGTTCAGGTCCTTGGCCATTTGTTGATTGGGTTATTTGTTTCATTATTGTTTAATTTTTTGAGTACTTTGTATATTATGGATATTAGGGCTCTATCTGAAGTGTGAGGAGTAAAGATTTGTTCCCAGGATGTAGGCTCCCTATTTACCTCTCTTATTGTTTCTCTTGCTGAGAAAAAACTTTTTAGTTTGAGTAAGTCCCATTTGTTGATTCTTGTTTTTAACTTTTGTGCTATGGGTGTCCTATTGAGGAATTTGGAGCCCGACCCCACAGTATGTAGATCGTAGCCAACTTTTTCTTCTATCAGACGGCGTGTCTCTGATTTGATATCAAGCTCCTTGATCCATTTTGAATTCACTTTTGTGCATGGCGAGAGAAAGGGATTCAGTTTCATTTTGTTGCATATGGATTTCCAGTTTTCCCAGCACCATTTGTTGAAGATGCTATCCTTTCTCCATTGTATGCTTTTAGCACCTTTGTCAAATATAATATAGTTGTGGATTGGTCTCTGTGTCCTCTATTCTGTACCATTGGTCCACCCGCCTGTTTTGGTACCAGTACCATGCTGTTTTGTTACTATTGCTCTGTAGTATAGTTTGAAGTCTGGTATCGCTATACCGCCTGTTTCACTCTTCCTACTTAGAATTGCTTTTGCTATTCTGGGTCTTTTATTTTTCCAGATGAATTTCATCATTGCTTTTTCTATTTCTACAAGAAATGCCTTTGGGATTTTGATTGGCATTGCATTAAACCTACAGAGAACTTTTGGTAATATCGCCATTTTGATGATGTTAGTTCTGCCTATCCATGAACAGGGTATATTTTTCCATCTTCTAAGATCTTCTTCTATTTCTCTCTTTAGGGTTCTATAGATTTCATTGTATAAATCTTTCACCTCTTTTGTTAGGTTGATTACCAAGTATTTTTTTTTTTGAGGATATTGTGAATGGGGTGGTTGTCCTCATTTCCATTTCAGAAGATTTGTCGCTGATATACAGAAATGCCTTTGATTTATGTGTGTTGATTTTATATCCTGCCAATTTGCTGAATTCTTTGTAGAACCTTTTGGGTCTTCTAGGTATAGGATCAAGTCATCCGCAAAATAGTGATAATTTAAGTTCTTCTTTTCCTATCTTTATGCCTTTAATTTCTTTCATCTGTCTAATTGCTCTGGCCAGTATTTCGAGAACTATATTGAATAGAAGTGGTGAGAGAGGGCATCCCTGTCTTGTTCCAGATTTTAGAGGGAATGCCTTCAATTTTTCTCCATTCAGAATGATGCTAGCCTGAGGCTTAGCATAGATAGCTTTTACAATGTTGAGGTAAGTTCCTGTTATCCCTAGTTTTTCTAGTGTTTTGAACATAAAGGGATGCTGTACTTTGTAGAATGCTTTTTCTGCATCTATCGAGATGATCATATGGTTCTTATCTTTAAGTCTATTGATGTGGTAAATAACATTTATTGATTTCCGTATATTGAACCAGCCTTGCATCCCAGGGATGAATCCTACTTGATCATGGTGCAAAATTTTTTTGTTATATTTTTGTATCCGATTCGTCAGAATTTTATTGAGAATTTTTGCATCTAGGTTCATTAGAGATATTGGTCTGTAGTTTTCTTTCTTTGAAATGTCTTTGTCTGGTTTCGGAATCAGGGTGACGTTGGCCTCATAGAATGAATTTGGAAGAGCTCCCTCTTTTTCTATTTCCTGAAATAACTTGGGAAATATTGGTATTAATTCTTATTTAAAGGTTTTGTAAACTCCACTTTATACCCATCCTGTCCTGGGCTTTTCTTGGTTGGTAGTCTTTTGATGGCTTCTTCTATTTCCTCCTTTGATATTGGTCTGTTTAAATTGTGTGTATCCTCCTGACTCAATCTGGCCAAATCATATGACTTAAGAAATTTATCGATGTCTTCACAATCTTCTATTTTATTGGAATATAGGGTTTCAAAATAATTTCTAATTAACTTCTGTATTTCTGTAGCGTCTGTTGTGATATTGCCTTTTTCATCCTGTATGTTAGTAATTTGATTTCTCTCTCTTCTTCTCTTCATTAGCATGGTTAAGGGTCTGTCAATCTTATTTATTTTTTTTGAAGAACCAACTTTTAGTTTTGTCAATTTTTTCAATAGTTTCTTTTGTTTCAATTTCGTTGATTTCAGCTCTGATTTTAATTATTTCTTGCCTTCTGCTACATTTGCTGTTGTTTTGCTCTTCCTTTTCTAGGGTTTTGAGATGAAGTGTGAGCTCATTTATTTGTTGTTTTTTTTTTTCTTTTTTTGAGGAATGAACTCCAGGCAATGAATTTCCCTCTGAAAACTGCTTTCATTGTGTTCCATAGATTCCGATATGTTGTGTCTGTATTTTCATTTATCTCTAAGAATTTTTTGATTTCCTCCTTTATGTCTTCTGTAACCCATTGATCATTCAGTAACATATTGTTCATTTTCCAAGTGATGTAGGATTTTTCCTTCCTTCTTTTATCATTGATTTCCAGTTTCACTCCATTATGATCAGATGAGATGCATGGTATTATCTTCACACCTTTATATTTACTAAGGGTTGGCCTATGGCATAATATATGGTCTATTTTTGAGAAGGATCCATGTGCTGCTGATAAAAAAGTATATCCACTTGATGATGGTTGATATATTCTATATATATCGGGTAAGTCTAGGTTATTGATTGTGTTATTGAGTTCTATAGTTTCTTTATTCAACTTTTGTTTGGAGGATCTGTCCAATGGTGAGAGAGGTGTGTTAAAGTCACCCATAATTATTATGTTGTGGTCTATTTGATTCTTGAACTTGAGGAGAGTTTGTTTTATGAACATTGCAGCACCATTATTTGGTGCATAAATATTGATAATTGTTATGTCTTGTTGGTGAATGGTTCCTTTTAACAGTATATAATGTCCTTCCTTATCCCTTTTGATTGATTTAGACTTGAAGTCAATTTTATTCGATATGAGGATGGCCACCCCTGCTTGCTTCTGAGGACCATGTGCATGGTATGATTTTTCCTAACCTTTCACCTTCAGCCTGTGTATGTCTTTTCCAATCAGATGTGTCTCCTGAAGGCAGCATATTGTTGGATCTGTTTTTTTAATCCAGGTTACCAGCCTATGTCGCTTTATTGGTGGGTTTAAGCCATTAACGTTTAGGGTTACTATTGATATATGGTTTGTACTTCCAGTCATGTTTGATTATTTATCTTTTTTTTTTAACTTGGTTTGTTTCTCCATGATTAGCTTCCCCCCCACACACACTCTCTCTTTACTGAGGTACTTCCCACTGTTGGTTTTGGTTTTGGTTTTTGTTTTCATTTCTTCCTTGTATAGTGTTTTGCTCAAGATGCTTTGCAATGCTGGTTTTATGGCTGCAAATTCTTTTAACTTTTGTTGATCATGAAAGATTTTTATTTCGTTGTTGTACCTGAAGCTTAATTTTGCTGGATACAAAATTCTTGGTTGGCATCCATTCTTTTCATGTTTGAAATATGTTTATCCAGGATCTTCTCTCTTTCAGCATCTGTGATGAAAATTCAGCCGTTAACCTTATTGGTATACCCCTGAATGTAATCTGCCTCCTTTCTCTTGTAGCTTTCAATATTTTCTCTTTGTTCTGTATATTGGATATCTTCATAACAATGTGTCTTGGCATTGGTCTACTGTGATTTTGTATGCTTGGTGTCCTGTATGCATCTAGAATTTGTACATCTGTTTCCTTATTTATATCTGGAAAGTTTTCTAAAATTATTTCATTCAACAGATTGCTCATTCCCTTGGTTTGGTCCTCTATACCTTCCTCTATCCCGATGACTCTTAAGTTTGGTTTTTTTATGCTATCCCATATCTCTTGGATGTTTTTCTCATGGTTTATTACCAGCCTTTCTGAGTTGGCTAGACTCTTTTCAAGATGATGTATTTTGTCTTCATTGTCTGACATTCTGCCTTCTACTTGCTCCACTTTACTGGTGATACTCTAGGTTGAGTTTTTAATTTGGTTTACAGTTTCCTTCATTTCTAGGATTATTTTTTGATTTTTTTATAATCTCTATCTCCTTGTAAAGTTGCTTATTTGCTTCTTGAATCTGTTTACGTAATTCATTTTCAATGTGTTCTTTCATTGTTTGAATTTGCTCTCTCATGTCCTCTTTAAGATTCCATTCCATCTGTATATGGAATTCCTTGAGTTCTTTGACCATTTTTTTGATGCCTCTAGGTTCTCCTGTAGATTTAGGCTGTCCTGCATTGTTTGTACTCCTTTTCTTCCTTGCTTTTTCATGCTGCTCATGTTACTTCCGGTTCTGTTTGACTGCTGAGTTACTGTTTACTCCTATAAATTTATTTTGGTTTTGTGTATCTCTGGAGTCTCTCCTTTGTGATGGGAGACTATGACTAGTGATGATGAATTTTATTGCACTTTAAAGCAGATTCATTCGTTTCATAAAATGCGTATGGATTCTGATGGTATATAGCGATCTGCGGTTTGGTCTTGGGACTTATGTTTAGGTCGAATGATGTGATGGTATAGAGGTTGGTATATCTTGGCAACCTTGGAAGATTGCTCTACTGACGAGGGATATTAACAGAAGAATGGTTCGGAGTATTTGGACGTAGCTAGGGAATTGCTAGCACTATATAACGCCTTGGAACATTTATCTATACACATTTAGTAAATTACACATAAACAGTATTGTAATGCTTGGGAGGAATGGTATTAGAAGGGGAGGGAAGAAGTTGCTAAAGAGAATGAGAGTAAAGAGGTAGAATTCAAGAAAAGGGGAATAAGGAAATTGAAAAGAAATGAAAAGACAATAAAATAAAATAAAAATTGAAATAAAAAAATTAAGATTAAAATTTTAAAAAAATTAAAAATTTGAAAAATGCAGTCTTAGAGTTTGCTTAACTTCTCTTCCAGTAGGTGGAGCTGTGTCCACCTGGCCAAGCTTCTCCTCTCAATAGCAGGAACCAATCCCTGTGAGGCTGATCCTCCTTCCCCACTGGGCAGTTCTCCAAACCTGGGCTCCCAGGGCCTTTCCTGGTCTCCAGTCACTTCCCCGCTTTTCCTCCAGTCAGGCCCTGCTCACCGGTGACATTCACCACAAAACTGGCTACACATCAGGTCAGCCGTTCCAGGGATCCCTATTTTCTTGAATGACCGGGCACACTCTCTTTGTTTGCCATTCCCCCAGACCCTAAGGTTGTGGAGTGTGGAGCTGGGAACCGTCAGCTTATTCTGCCTGCCCTCCAGTAGCCATGCCCCAGGAGCTGGCGCAAGAGACTTCGGTTGTCAGCGCTGGTGGGAGCGGTAACCGCGGGTCATGCGCTGCTCCTGACTCCCTAGGTCTGACAATCGCGCTCATGGGAGAGCTGGGGGCGAGGGGGGGGCCTTGAGATTTCCCAGCTGTGTGGAAAGGAAGGGCCTGGGGGTCACACACCTGCAGACTCTGGTTTCAGTGAAGTTATCCCCTCCGCCAAATTCTGGTGATGTCAGTTCTCGGCCATGGTGGTGTCCCATGTGAAGGGTGGCCATTCGTTCCTTTTGCCTGGTGTCTGATGTGAAGGGTGGGGCCGGTCTGAGTCTCCCAAGTCCCCTCTCAATTCTGGGCCCGCTGGCTATGAAGGCTTGGTTGATATCACCTCAACCGAAGAGTTGTTTTTCTATTCTGCGGTAGCATCCGTAGTGCTGAGGCACTGAGTCATGGAGGTTTGGCAGCGAGAAGCAGACAATCAGCCAGAAACTGCGTACGGGGAGCCTGAATTCACCCGCTCAGGGCTCGGTGTGGGTTCTGAGGGGCACAAACTGCTCGCCCCGGGACCACTTCAGCCCAGCATTGCCAAGTGATCCTGAGCAAACAGCATTCAGTTGGTTTAAGACTCCCTTTGCCCGCGCAGCTGAAGAGGTCACAGAATTGATCTCTCAGTGCCCACTGCCATGTTCACCATGAATAATTTTTAAACTATGTTATAAACTTTTTTTTAATAACCAGCAAGCAAAAAAAAAGTATTGAATAATTCAAGAAAAGAGATAGCATAACTTGACTTGTATTGTTAAAGACTGTTCTCTCTTCTTTGTATGGTTGGATTTTAGAAGTGATTAAATAGGGACAGAGCTGGGGTGGTGTTGCATTACAAAAAAAGAAAATTCCAGTGGCATCTTGATATTGAGCTGTGCCAAGTTGGTGGTTTTAGTGTGAGAAAGGCAATACAAATAGAGGACAAAGTTTGCTAGAGAAATATTAGAATAAGATCAGGAGCTCAGTCTTGGGCTTATTCTATTTGATTCACTCTTGAACAATCCAAAAGAAAATATTTAGATATTTAAGATTGGAACTAAGAATACAGCCAGGTCAAGAGTACAGAATGGAATAAAGCAAACAGAAACAGACCACAGCATGTGGTGTAAACCTCTACCACTACCTGTTTAAAAATGACAGAAAGTGCTCTTTACTAATACCTCCTTGAAATTCTATACCATTTGATGAGGTGGGGATTATCTGATCTGATAAGGAAGGAAATTGATTCTTTAAAATTCTAAGTAAACTTTTGAAGGCCTCAGGGCTAATTTTTATCTTTATTAATTGTGAAGACTTGACTTTTCATTTCAATTCCCTTCTGCCTGTTATGATTTTACACAATAAAGGTATGTGGTTATATATATATATATTGCAATAATGGATAGCTTTGAGAACATATTTAAAGGGGGATGAAGTCTTAAAATAGAATAGTTTCTATTCTTGTCCAATAAGGGCCTGGCTTTTGCCAGCAAAAATGGTGACAAAAAGGCAAAAATTCAAGAAGAATTAGATTATTTATTATAGGGAAAGAAATAAGGAGAAGCCAGGATGAATTTAAGTTTCTGGTCTGATGAAAGGACAAGTCGATATCCAATTGACTGAAGTGGCAAACACTGGAAGTGAAATGGTTTCCATAGAAAAAGCGAAATGCCCACGTTGAGTCCATGGTGCCTAATGGAGATCTATGTGAAAGAGTTCAATAGACACTTTATTATGTGGATTTGGCACTGAGATCAGAAATCAGAGCTGAAGATCAGACTTGAAAATTTTGATTATACAATTTATGTTTAATAATTTAGGTATAATCAATATACCAACGAAAGATATGTTGAATGCAAAATAAGTGGATAAAGGAAAGGACTTTAGTGAGCACCCAAATTGAGTGTGAATCACAAGATATGAGATCAGAGAACAAAGAGTGCCCAACAGCTTTAGAACTCAGAATTGATTTTAGTTAGCATAATATTAAGTTTGATCATGATGGAATTCAAATTACTATTGGTCTCAGAGAAGAAGAGAGATAAGGCTCTGGATTTTGACAATGAAAAGCTTAATTACATTGTATCCTGTAAATCTGTACAATTAAAATAATAATTAACTCAAAAACAAGGGAAAAATAGAAAAAGGACCTTGTGAACGATAAGGTGTGTATGTAGGGAGAATGGGCTATGTGGTATGAGAAAAGTAACAAGGATTCTAGGGTCATATAAAACTTGGGTTTAAAATCTTCTACAAATTTATCATCCAGCTATCCTGAATATATTTAAATTATTGCTTACTTGCTATAATTAATTTACTGACTTTAATTTATGACTACTTAATTGATTTGAGAAAGGGAAATTGGACCTAATTCATAATAGTTGGAAATGGAATCATGGGATAATTATTCTACACATAATACATGTGGAAGAGGCACATTGTAAGTAAATGACATTATTTTTTATTTCTATTTCTTAAATGCAGTTCCAGGATTCTAATATCAATTCTCTTCCTTCCCTTAGAGTTTTGTGTTTCCATATTATCTTAACAAGACATTAATCATTATAATTATCATTCCATATTAAAACTATTTACTGCACACATCTTAGTTTTCTACTATAGATTACAATTCTAAAGTTTTTTTTTTTAATTTTCTTTTTGTGGTTGTAAATTGATATTGTGCCTTTATTTTATTTGTTTATTTTTATGTGATGCTGAGGATCAAACCCCGTGTCTCACAAGTGCTAGCAAAGTGCTCTGCCGCTGAGCTACAGCCTCAGGCAACATTATCATTCTTGTCTTTAATTTATTCCTCATCCTTCCATGATTTCCTGAAACAATTCACCTTCCCGGGTTTCCTTACCCTTTAGGTTCCATGCATGATCTTTAATGGTAAGTCCTGATAAAAGGAGAGTATGTGTGAAGTTATTTCTGGCTTACCTTCTCTCTGTGTCTGGTGGAGTTTTCTATAGCAGAGGGCCTCTTCTAGACTGATACTATCATGCTTCCATTAGACAGTCCTGCCATTCCCAGGGAGTCCCTGCCATGTCACTCTCCCAGTAGGTCTCTGGTTTTACCCTCTAGTAGCAATGTTTTCTCTCTCTGTCCTTCTAAGCCTAGTTATGGAAGAAGCATCCTGATTTTTCTAACTTCTCTTCTTCTCTTATTTTATGTCTTAGCTCTTCCAACACATTTAGCTAGCTTGCATCCAATTATCAGTTGAAATGACTAACAGTGATCTATATTTTCCTGAGTGGACCCTAACTGATATACCTATTAAACTGCTTTCTGATGCTGTGTCTTACTGGTGTTTGAATTATTAATGTTAAAAAATTCTACCACATAATATCAGTCGAGTAGAACTGTTTATTGCACAAATTGGAGCAGAAAAGGATGAGGAAAGTACAACAGCATCTGCAGAAGAAGAAACCACGTGACTTATAAATACTAAGATATCTAATAGCCCTTTTAAAACCAAGGTTCCCTCATTTTAGTATTCAATCACACTCCTCTGAGAGTAGTGAAATACTTGTAATATAGAAAGGAGGGATTTTTTTGTTTAAATGTTCTTTTAAAATTTGTTCTAATTAGCTATACATGACAACAGAATGATTTTATACAAATGGAGCACAACTTCTCATTTATATTTCTTCTGTAGGTACTTCTGTAATATTTTAAAATATTATTTTCCCCTCTTCTCCAAGGATATGAGACCATCTCCCTAGATTCAGGTGTAAAAGCTGACATACTGGTGAAACTTAAAACCTAGCAAATCAAGCCATTTTAGAATGTGCCAGTCAGTATTCAGTTCTTGAAGTTCTAATAAATAGCATGGCTTTTCCCATTGTTTCATTTTTTAATCTAATTTTTATTTTAAGTGTAACATACATATAAATGCATACAAAATATATGTGTGAGGCTCAGTTAACTTTTACAAAGAGAATACACACATGTAACAACTACTCAGAAAGGAAATAGAACATGAAACAGATCTTGGAAGATCCCCTGTGTCAACTTTGTCATTACCTTAATTGGTCACACAGTTGACCATTTTCCTGATTTGATTCATTTCTACTAAGTTCCATTAAAACACTTATATCCATTCAGTTATACCCTGCTTGGCTTATCTATTCAGCGTAATGTTTGTGAATTGTCTTCATGTTGTGTGACTATAGTTGATTATTTTCAATTGCCCAGTGGTATTCCACTTTATGTGTATACCACAATATATTTATTGACTGCACTGTTGATGGAATTTTGTTATTTTCTAACTATGAACTGTACACATTATAAGTGTGCATTTGAAAAAATTGCTGGGATATACAATGTACATATGTTCAGTTTTAATGTATACTGCCTGTTTATCTTCCCACTAGGATTTAATGTTATTTGGTTGACCTTCAATATAATGACTGCTTTCTCTTATGGTAGTGTGCATGTGTCCAGGTTTTGAATTGATTCCTTCATATACCTTATTAGTTGTAATAACAGGCCTGTGAAAAAGCTATTATTATAATTATGCATATTTTGTAGTTGAAAAACTGAGCTCTAGCACAATTAATATATCCAGGAGTGATAACAAAAATGAAGATATGTTTGCCCATACTTAATTAAAAATTGCAAGAGGAGAATAGTCATCCTTTGAACAAGAGACAAACTGGTCTCAATAGAAACAAAATAAAAGAAATACCAGGACCTCTAAAAACTCAAGGAGCCCACATCCCACTGGAGGTTGTTCTTCTTTTCTGTGTGGAATCAAGGATGTCTGATTTTGGTTTAGGTGTACACACTGATACTGTGGTGAAATTTAACATTGAATGCCACTATCCAGAACAAACAGGGAAGGCAATAGGAGTAGTACCTTCCATCTACCTAAGGTCTTACTTCTCCCACTTGCTGTCACATATGACAGGACGTCTCGCCAGCTCAAGTTCTTATTAGACTGATAGTTTGGCTGCCTCATGCAATTTTACCCCATCACCAACCAAGCAAAGTCAGAATGACTCACTTTCTCTCCATGCACTCTCACAGGGAAATTCTTAATCTGATAGTGCCTTCTACCTTAGGTTAAAAAAAGAATTTGAGTTCCCGTGCAAGTTACATATTAATCTTCACAATTCAGGTTGGCAGAGAAGACAAAGGGCAGAATTATAAAACAGTGTAAAAATCTTCTAGCTGCCACATGTGTTTAAGAAACACAAGTTAAAAGAGGCAATTGTGTGATTAACAGAAGAATCATCCAAATTTGTTCACACTT